AAATAGAGTGGACTGGCCGGGCAGTTCTGCCTAAATGGAAAGCACCCTAAGGTCATAAAACTTGTACTTGATATTATTGAATGTAATAACCTTATCTGCAGCAGATCTGTCATATTCTTTTACAGCCCTTGCATGTTCTATTAATGGATTTTCCTCCTAGAAAATAGTGTTTGTTATTATAATATCTAATTAAAAACATTAAAAAATACTTATATAATATATACAGTCACATATGTACATGTATGTAGCCTAAATTACACCACATTTATTTATAGTAACATTACAGTCATGATGGTGATGCACAAAGTCTCACAATCTGACAAACGATCTCCCAAAGGGACCAGTTGCACTATGAAACACAGTGTTTCTAACTGAATTTGTTTGTTAGGGTTTAGATTTCTGGCTTCAATTRAACAATACTTTTGATGATGACTACAATTATTATGTGAAATTAAAAGGAGTAAGTTACACCTTTAATAATTCCAGGAAACACCTACCATACTCCCAGTGCCTGGAACAATTTCAAAAGTGTGAAGCCTTCTCCTGTCTTCTCTCATATAACGTTCCTAAACACATGAGATTGTGWTGTAAGTTTGTATTTYGATKCAACATTACAGACTAACGTTTGATTGGGAAATGTGCAATGGCAATGTCCTCTGTAGTTTGAATTGGGATGCATATAATGTAGCAMGCAATGCTTCTTGCTAYATATAATCTGAGCTGSCTTCAWGTAAACTGATTTTTGCATTTTGGTTTCATTCAGCATGACAGTGGAGTATGCCAAGCTACATAGACTTGACATACTGTACAAGACACTATGTAAAGGGTTCTACAATTTGAACCATGTGACCTACAACTTGTATTAACTTTGTCTCACAATCCTACAATATGTCATAGTGATGAGGCAAGTCTCATGTCACAAGTCTATCATGTACATGTAAATCTGCCTTTATGATTTTCTTTTTTTTGAGGTCTGGTGTTACTAATTCATTAGTAGGCTATGTTGGAAATAAATTTCCTAGAGATACAGGAAATTCCAGTGGGAACTATTTTCTTCTAACAACATCTTARAAAGTATTTATCTCTTCATGTAAAAAGTTACACACTAAGCTCTTTATGGTATTAAAGTGARGCTGTCATGCCACTACGCATGTGYGCRTTCAGACAATTTTACGGGATGTAARGACAACCAAAGACGAGAGAGTAGATTGAAARTTGAATCCGTTGCAATCTTGGTTCTATTTCACCTTTTTGCATTTTCAAATCAATTAAGTATTTGTTTAKGCTAGGGGAATCTTTTTTTTCGTGTAGATATTAGAATTCAGCCAATAGTTTTCAGTCTCTTCTTAACAGCAATAGCTGGCTCCCAAAGAATGATTTCCTCACCTTTTCAGGACACATATCAGGACAGGTTCCTTTGACAGCTTTTGCTGTTGTTATATCTGAGGCTTTAGTYAGCCCTGCAAGAAGATGACTTCACATAAGCCTATCTGTAAATTATACACTAAGGTGAAATATAATTCTCTGAAAGAGAAAAAATTTCCTTAATGGGCGAAAGGCCCTAGGCCTAGCTATATAGGCCTATATGCTAATTAAGATAGTGTTGTGGTTGAGAAATGTATTTCTCAATCATTGTGGTCCAAGACCCTACTACACTACAAGCGTTTAAATTTTTTTTTATTGAAAAGGTCCAATCTGGGACGAAACTAGTCTTCCTTAAAATAAAGTTTCTTGGCGTGACTGTGTGTTAAAGACTTCACGTATTGGGTTTAATCCTATCCAGCATTATGACATTTTTTTTTACTTCTGGGTTTTTGCTAATAAGATATTTGTGTTACTTTGCCAATAAAATGTGATTCGTTGGTTTGGACTGACCACCGCACTTTGTGTGCTGAGTCATTATTGGGACTTGAGGGAATGTTAGGAACTGAGTAAAATAATTTTGAAAAAGATTGTACCTTCTCTGAATTTTAAGTCAATCATTTCCAAGACTTTATATTTATCTCCTGATGATATTGCTACGGGTAAAGATTGGACATCTGAAAACGACAAAAAACTACCRTGAAGTTTTATAAATGCATGCATAAAATGTAAAACACATCCCTAAATAGACACATAACAATCCTTGCTATGAAATTTTAGTTTTCCTTGTTCTAAAAATAGCTCTTTCTACAAGAGGGCATTACACAAGCAAATGCACACCTATCCGCTATCATGAGGACAATCACATACTTAGTTACAACACACACACACAAAAGAACAAACAAATCAACCCATATCTTAATCAAGGAACACATGCAGCTAGGATCAAAATGTTCCGTTTTGGCTGAGGGAGGAAAAACCAGAGAACTCAGAGAAAAAACCCTCAAAGCAAGGGAGAGAATGGAACAAAAGTCAAGCCACATATGATCTCAAGTCAGAATCAGGACCACAGCAGTGACAGGCCGGCGCTCTCACTRCTTGGCCACCCACCATTTTTTCAAAAACAGTGTTGATGATTTTGCAATATTTTGATACATGTAGCTATCTATTTTAGTTACGTTCAGCTTGGATAAACAAATATATAAATCATCAAGTGCACAGTACTACAATCAAACTCTTACTATCAACATTACCAAAAGATAAAACTGCGTCCTTTAATACTGGTTTCTCTCCGATATTCTAAAAACAAAATTATCATATTCAAAATACAGTTTTCAACCTTTAATCATGAAATTTTCTTCAATGTCAGCAATAAGCAGTGAGCAMTTGGATGAACATATTCATGGCTCATTGCCTCCAGTTTTGGTAATTCTTAATGACCCATATTTATGGACTTTCCCTCCCCTCTACCATCCTTAGCCAAGGGTTAGGGTTCCTGATTTAGGGTTAGGATTAGCGTTAGAATACAATGAGAGCACTAGGTTTTGGGAATGGTACAGTAGGGTTAGGTTTAGGTGAGGGTTGGTCTCTAAGCAAGTAAGCTCCTTCACTACCCACAAACTTGAGAGTAGAAACTTAAGTCAAAAAGGCTAAAAAAAACCCAGTAGATCAAAATCTCCATTACGTGCAGTACTGCTCCGAGCCAATACAAGCAAATGGTTGAAGTGAAGGGTGTAGATGCAATATGCAAATTTACTGGATGGTCTAGCAATCTGTTGTCAAGCCAAGGTAGTCTTTAACTATGGAACTAACTACTAACTACTTTTTGGAAAGAAATCATGAGAAATAAATACCAAACAACATTTTTTGAATGAAAATACATTTTTGTAGGTGATTGGAKCGATCTTTTTCAATYAAGTGAAAAATTCAAAATACCCTATAACATTAGGTGTTTTCAATGCTGGCCCTTCAATGAGACTAGATACCAAAATATACCAGCACGTTATTTCAATAACATAATACTATTTAAATTAACTTTAAATTAACATTCCACTTATCAATCATGTTTTGATTAATATTTTCAAGGATTCTGAAATTTTCCAATAACAACCTAAATAATTGGTGAAAAGTTAATTTCCTAAAAAGGTACATGTAAGACTTATATGTACATGTATTTCATTATATGGAAACTTGTATTGCACCTGTTTGACTGACTCTGCCTTTTCAGATAATTCTTGTTTATCTATTGTAATAAAACACACCACAAGGGATTAAAATAAATACTAAAGTGTTMAACTGATCATTTACAATAATACATATCTAAAGAATACTCTAGTTTCAAGATCTTATTTGTGCAGCCTTAACCTTGAAAGCATGTTGTATTCTTTTATTTAGCAGAGAATTTATTACAGTATAATGCAAATAATCTATGTACAAAGAAGACAATAAAAATTTCTGCCTGAATGAAGTTAAGCTTGTACAAAAGAGAATTTGAAACTGGAGTATTAGTAGAAGTGATAAGTAAGCTATCATCAATTTTGCAAACAAAGTGCTCAATGATGATTTCCATYAGAGCAATATAACATTAATTCAAAAAGGACAATACACACAATTACATCATCATTTATTTGCAATAGGGCATATYAAAATAAAGTACCTTTAGAGACACTTCTCTTTTTCTCCTGTTTCCAAAAAATACTGACAGGTTGACAACCTTTTTGCAAGATCCTTCCTTTCACTTTGGYTAACTTCGCTGCTTCCTGAGAAAATAACAATTTATTGGAAAATAAATGCAGAAAAAAAAATCTAATGAAGATCTCTCTAAACATTTTCTACTGGCAAATAAGCATGATCAACATTGAATTGCATTGTTTGTGATTTTTTTTMTGCCTACAACTCTGACTTCTCTGTCCCAGCTAAAAACACCTTTACAAGGCTAATCAGTAATTTAGAGGAAAAAACTGTGAATAAAATCTGAAAAAGGAAATATGTATACAATTACAGTAGCATAAACTACCAATGTATAACTTACATGTGTTCTAAAAGTGACTGTTGCACTATTCTTTGCAGAATTGCACAATACTTTAACGATTTCACCAAACCTAGAGTAAAATCTACGTAACCAGGTATTTTTGTTACAACCAGGAGGTATTTCCCTGATAACTAGTGACTTAAGTTTTGATATGTCAGGTAAAGTAATCTTTTCTTCCTGTACTGTTTGTTTTGTGCCAAATGATTTCACATTGGACAAAGAAGTGAATGGTTGTGTTTGATGAAGAGGATCTCTTCTCTGTTCACTGCCTGATACAAATGTGTTATCATCTGACTTGACTGGAAAAGTATCAACAGGTTTARCTGGGAAACCAGTAGATGTCTTAGTCTTGTTTTCTTCAAAGTCTTTAGGTTTTGAACTGTTATCATTACTCCTAAATGATGAAAACCCTACAAACTTTGCTGTTGACACAGGGAACCCAACAGATGAATCAGTTGTCATTGCAGATAATGTTGTAAATGTGGAAGACACTGGGAAACCAAAACCTGTATGGCTAGTACTTGGAAAAGTAGGCACAACAGTGCTTGTCACAACTGGAAATCCAGATATTGCTTGAGTATTGGGAGGAACAGATGAAAATGTTTGATTTATGGTATAAGAGCCTGATGAGTCAAAAGAAGATGTAGACACATTACCAAAGACAGATGGCATTGCATTAGCCATTTCAAATGCTTGTGTTTTTGAGTCAACTTCACCATGCTCAACACTTTTCAYTATTAAACCACTAGGTCCCTTTGCAGCACTCAAAGATTCTGGAGATAGCTTTTGACGAAATGTTGCTGTCCTTTTGCTGGTTTTGCCTTCTAATGATTGTCTGTGTGCTGCATTTTGGGATAGACGTCGAAGAGCTTCTTTCTTCTGTGAGAACAATAAACTATAGTAAGTTAGGGATTGTTTTACAAAAGATACACTACCACTTGGAATCAAATGTACTGTTATTTTTTTGTTTCAGAAAGTCAAATCTTTGGTTTTTATTGCAGTTCAACTTTTTGATAAACAGCCTAACAATAGAAGGGCTAATAATCCAGTTTCGAATTCTCCAATGCTCTGTGTTA